TACCATTGGCCTGTTGCCCTCTCCCACCTTGGCACGCCGAGTAACGGGAGAGGAGCTCCGAGCTGAGCTAATTACCTCAATGCGAGGAAGCAGGTGGCCCGGACGGTCTCACCGCAGAACAGCTGCGCGCTCTGGGCGCGGCGGAGTCGAGTTTTTACTCAGTTCCTGAATGCGCTGCCTGCCGTGCGGATATTTTCCCAGGCATGGAGGATTGCGACCATTGCACTAATACCAAAACCTGGCAAAAATAAACTATTCCCGAGCAGCTATAAAACTATTAGTCTGCTCTCATCCTAGGGAAGACGTTTGAGAGACTGATCGTCACGTTTGCAACAGGAAATACGTCATCTCAATCTTCTCAGAGATGAACAATTTGGCTTTTCGAGCTGATCACAGCTCCGCGCAAGCAGCTTACGCGGCTTTGCACGGAGATCACCCTCGCTCTCGAGAGACGCCAGAACCTGCCAGCGGTCTTTCTGGATATGCGGGTCGCTTTCGATTCTGGTGTGCATGCGGGGTTTGCTCGAGTGACTTGCGGAGCGGGGAGTGAGCGATTGCTACTCAGACTGATCGCGAGTTTTCTCTCTGACAGGCAGTTCAAAGTGCGCGTCAATAACGATTACTCGTCCCTCAGACGAGCCGAGGCAGGCATGCCTCAGGGAGTGTTCTTCTCCTACCTCTTCGGCTTATACGTGAATGGACGCGCCGCTTCCTGCTGAAACAATGACTGGCATTCAACGCTGCGCGGCTCCTGATGTTCGCGGATGATTTCGCGTACTACGCGAAATCGGCGAACGGAAGGCAGTCAGTTAATAATTAAGTGATTTCTCGCCGCCTTCTGAATGGCCAAGTCGGAAACGCCTCGCTCTCAACCTCGAGAAATGCGTCGCCGTCAACTTCACTCGCTAAGAGGCTAACCCAATGAAACGGTGAGCTTGGCTGGCACGCATACTACCTTGGCGGAGCGAAGCGAGATATTTGGCGTGCTACTTGACAGCGACTTCGCTGGCATGCGCACGCTCGTATCTCGCTGCCAAAATTAAAACACGCGCCCTCCCTTTTGAAACCTCTTCTCCGTTTCTCCCGACTTAGCAATTCCTCTTAAAGCGCCGCTCTATTCACAGCTTGCGTGCGTCCCTGTGTGGCGTACGCTTGTGAGGTTTTTCGCGGCAGCTTCTCCCTCTACTCTGCCACCCCATCCGGTAGCAGAGAACAGAGCGGCGCGCCCGCACTTGCCTCTTACCAGGCCTTACCGGACAACCCAAAAAACGCTGACGGCTTCAGAATCTTAGACGTTCGCAAACCAGTTCCCGGCGGAGCTACAAAAGAGGCGCGAGACGGCGCTCGCAAGGCGCTGAGGCCGTCCCGCTCCGCGCATCCTGCGCGCGAGACCGGCAAGGCGGCGAAACAGCGGCGTGCACAGGGCCTTCCAACAAGAAGAAAGGCCCACAGCACGTCGCCTTCACCTTCGCGCACTGCCCCCCCACAAGGTCTCTGAGCTCTGCCGACGCGGGGGAGCAGCAAGTGTGTGGCAGGGATCGCCGCTCACGGATGCCGGAGAACCGCGCGGCGGCGCGGATGCGCGCTCCGCTGGGCCAGCATCGCTGGGACCGAAGACGTCGCGGCGCACGGACGCTTGAGAAAAGTCGGCGCGTGGCGTGCTTTAAAAGTGTATATAGTGTTGTGAAGTGTTGTGTGTTTGTATGAATGAATGGATGCGTTTTTAAATATAATTATTATAAGTGTGAATGCGAGTGAGAGAAAAAAAAAGAAAAGAAAATAGAACAATTTCAAGAACACCTAATTAAATAATTAGAAAAAAAAGTCTAAAAACTAACAAACCCCAAAGTGGTAATGTATATAGTTGTAGTTATAAGATAGTTTTAGTTTGTATGTAAGCAATAAAGCCTTCCTAACTGCACAAGCCAAATCGGCTGCAGTTATTCATACTGTACCCCAAAAGACAAATAAAATCCCGCCTCTCCAGGGTAACTGGAGGGTGTAAAACTGAAAAAAAATTCTTGGCAGCAGTATAGCTCTGAAGAAGGCCACAGCAAGATGGCCGAAAATTCAGTACAATTGACCGATACGCGGCTCATCCCGGATAGCCAAGAATACATTGACTCCGGCCGCGGAAGCCTACGAACCCATATTCACATATAATTATACAATCTTTGTAACAGTTTGACAATAAACAAAAAAGGGGAAGCATCAAGCACAGTTTGTTAAGTTATTTTCAAAGTCACAAATAGTAATAGTAATATGAATAAAATCGGTTGATGGGAAAACATGTACCGTTTTACATAATTTTAGATTCAATGAAAAATCACGTAATACTCCCTTCCAAATATATTAAACATGAAAACACACAAATCAGTGCAATCTCTCGCCACCATAAACTATGGGAAACAGTTTCAGAACAAAAAAAAACAATTTTGTGCTCTGGCATGATTCTAAAATCCCCGAACTAAATATTGTTTCACATCCGCTTATAGTTTCATTCATAATACCGTTAATTGTTTCTTCATAAGCCACTTCCATTAGAAAGTGATTAAGTTCTATACCTTCCTTCCACCAGCACATAATAAAGTCCCATTCCCTCAATCTCCTCCTCCTTTTGGCACGAATGCCCTTCAAATATCTTATTCACACTATCGATTTTCAAAAACTTGTAACCAAGTCCCGTCTTTTCAGCATGTCATTTACGTTATTGTTTCAAATTCAGTCAACCTTCCTACTGCTCGTGCATATTTCACTCCTGAGAAATGGAATAATATTCTGAGGAAATACATCTTGTAGGTCCCACACTTTCAGATTACAAAAAAGAATTGTACGAATAATAAGCAAATCCCACCCACTTGGTTCTTGTAAGCTTCTCTTTATTACTATAGGTATTTTACCATTACTTTGTCTCTTGATTTACGAATCAGTGTTTTTCGTCAAAAATGACTTACTTAAGGACGGGAATATAGTATCAGCAAACGCCGATGACTTTAACACTCTACGTTGTAATCATATCTATCAGCAGACAGTATCAACAGCTCACTACAAAAAAATCACATACAATACATATACATTATTTTACAACTTTGCCAGATGATATTAAACGATTAAATTCGATACAAAAGTTTAAATCCCAAGTAAAATCTTATCAGCTTCTCAACTGTTTCTATACAGTTAAAGAATATACCGAGCATCCAAAAGGAAAGTAATATTAATTTTAACAATGACATTTAAAGTCGTTTTTACCATTTGGATTGTGTAACTGAACCTGTAACAAGCATTGTACTTCAGCTTCTGAGACAATGACCCCCATCTTCATCAGGTTTCCATCGAGTTTCCCTAATCCTTGAGCGAATACAAAGGTGGCCCATTGTTCTGCTTCTGAACATAAATGCAACTTCAAATGAATGTCTCACCGTCGGCAGGGTTACCAGAAATTTTTTCCCAATGGAGGACATTTTAAAATTCCCAAAAGGAGAACATTTCATTAAAAGAGAGGGCATTTTACATTTTTAAACTCCACGATGTATAGACAATGTACTCAGAAATATGAAACCATTAATAGTCTTTAAAAAGTATATTAGACTGTGCCTTTCAAAATGAAAACTTCTGATGGGGTAACTTCGGCCCCGCACTCACCTTGATTATCCACCAAACAATAAGCGTAAATAAGTATAAGGAGAGAGGACGGGAGGACCATGTTAAAATAAAAGGGGATAGTCCTCCAAAAGAAGGACAGATGGCAACCCTGTCTCGTGGCGTAGCAGGTCACACACAGTTTTTAATTGTTTTGACGTAAATAAATAAAACTTGCGAGTGTACTACATATGCCCATGCGTCAGTAAAATTGTTTCCCCAAGTTGCGTTATAGAACAAGGTCTATTCGTCCTTCAACGGCCATTAGTCCCTATTTCAAGATGACGAGAAGTAGTCAATAATTCATTACTCCAAATTTTGAGATTTTACCGTTTTATAGGGCGTTATTAAATGCACTGAAAATGACTGCACTGAAAAATTATTAATTTTATACTTGTTCATTAAATGTTTATGTCATACGTTTCAAGATAGGAAAAAGTAATACTGTACGACGAAAATTGACATCTTAACTCAATATTTCTCTCATATAACACCAACATTATAATTGCATTATTATATTTGTTTCGATTACTCGAACACATTCCTTAACAAGGTTTGTTCCAGCAGCAGTTCGAAACCCTCCCGAACCAGTCCGCACATGCACAGTCTTAGCATTGGTCGTTCCAGCAGCAGCAGTCAGTGATTGTGATTGGGAGTTAGGCGTTCCAGCAGGGTTGCTGATTAATTTGAAACCCGTCAGAATCAGTGCAAACTAGAAATCCGCGCATGCGTACTTCGGACCCTGAGTTCCCGCCAACGCCTAACTTCGACGACACTCTATTTACATTTCCTTCAGGTTTCTGCATAGTTGTTTTGTGTTCCGCTCTATATATTTTGAACCTGCTTTGTTTTACATTTTAATGATTCTTGGGTTTTGGTGACTTAGCTATCTTTCGGATTTTCTTGTGGATATTGGAACTTGACATTTTGTTTCTTTTCTTTCTTTTTTTTGTTTTGGTTTTGTTTTTGGAAATGGAACGTAAGTAATTTTAAGGAAGTTCGTTGTTTCGTAACTTACTAAATATATATGTAGTTATTTACCATTCTGAATTGTTAGCGTTATCGCTCATTTAAAAAATACAATTAACCGAAATCTTTAACCAAACAATTAACCGAATAATCAAAAACAATAGCGCAAGTCACAGTTTACCAGGTTTAAAATCCATAAATAATAGCGAGGTCAACGAAATAATAAGCGAGCAAATATGGAGAAACATAAAGCGCAAGTAAATACCAGGAACTGACCAGGACCACGTCCCTTTGATTTCTGCACGCGATACGAAAATGATGACATCTGGCGGAAATTCTGCAACTACGGAAGCAACGAAACAGCGGCGCCTAGAGACTGGTTTTTGTCTGGTAGATCCGTTGGGATCTACTTGTTCCAGCAGATCCCAATCCGGGACGCATTTCTGACTAGTTTACACTACACTAGTTTACAGTGAGTTTACACGCGCGCATGCGCAGAGTAAACTGTACGTAAAACTGTTTGTGATTGTTTGCTAGAACAAACCTACTATTTACCTGAGCCCAATATTGCTGACATTTAGTTGAATCATTTCAATGTACGGTTTAAGGTACAAGAGATGCCTATTAAAATAGAATTCGTACCGCCTATGCGCAGTTTACGTTTCGCACCACTTTCGTGCATCCCGCATGCGCAGAAGATCGATAGTGCTTTACGTTCGATGTGGCACAAACCCTCTATAGATCTCGTATCTTACGATATCGCTGTTTTGTAAACAGCATAGAGCGGCGAGATTTGAAGTTTCCCATTGTGGAACGTGAAGATAAGCTGAAAAGAAGTATTTGAAACGAAGTCGTTTTAAGAAAACGAAGGCAGTAGAATTATGTAAAAAGTGTGTATCGGTTTAAAATTACACATTTATGTTGAATGGCTTTTTTTCCGAAGTGTAAACGAAATAATTAATTATAGGTTTTATCAGTTGTATTTTATCCGGTCAGTAAAGTTCGTATACATTTTACATGTCTTCTTAAAGATGCAGAATTCCGAAAATAAGTTTACACATTATCAGTTAAAGAAGCAAGGTATGTTCTAATTATCTGCTGTGGTTGTGACTTGCCCATATACTGTCATGTAGTTAACAAATTAAATTGCCTTTGTACATTGAACTAACCCCTTTTTTGATTCTGTGCCAGCCGTATTCGATGTTTTGTACAAACATTGTGAAAGAAACCAACAAGAACAAGTTTCTGTTACCAGTGTTCTGCAATATGTTTCAAAGGAATTGGGTTCAAGCTTCAAAAGTCCAGAGTAAGTCATTAAAAAAATATAAAATTAATTGTTTCCAGTTTATCTGACATTAAATTCTGTCCTTTTTTCAGAAACATTATCAATGAGTTGAACCTGAAACTAGAAGCCAAGAGTAAGGATGGCTGGATATTATTTGCAGATGTTTGTGAAATACTGAGTGGTTGGATGGATAAAATATCTTTAACTCCACATTGTGCCATGATGAAGAAAACCTCTGAGACAATTGAATACACTTTTAAAAAAACAAAATCTGATCATTCTCTACCAATACCTTCTCTTTCTACAAGAAACAATTCTACAGAAAGTGGTAAGTTGATGATTATGGAAACAAAAATTTGTTTTACACAAATTGTGCTAATGTTTTGTTACTGTGTTACAAAAATATACATTGCATATTATTTTTAAATAGTTGTAATTGAAAATCTTCAAATTAACTTCCCCCATACCATGTCACACACAGTTTTTAACTGTTTTTGATGTAAATAAATAAAATAAAATCTTTCAGGTGAACTTTTATTCATGAAATGTGAGAAATGTGGTAAGGATGAGAATTGTTGTGATTGGAGAAACAATGAAGTGAATCGGTAAGTACGATTTTGAATGTTTAGTAAATTGGCGAGTAGTGATTTTAGAACAGAATTAATAAATTATTATATTTAGGGAAGAAAGGATTACTAAATGTTATGAACAAAAAGTGGCAGAGTTGCAAAATTTGTTGAGGCAAAGTGAAGATTGTAACTATGTTATACAAGTGGAAAATGAATCTCTTCGAAGAAATAATGTTTTGTAAGTTTTTGTTGTAAAACATTGTATTGTTTTTTCTATTCATTGCTGAAAATAACTTAAGCATGTTACAGATTACAAAATAAAGAATATCGATGGATCACCAAAGAAGAACAACTTGCGGAACGTGAACAACAATTGTTATCAGCAAATACATTTCTTAAGGAACAAAATGACATGCGAGAAAAAGAAATCTTGACCTTAAAACAGCAACTGAGTCGCCTGAAAGTTGAGGTAATTGTCATCCATATGTAAAAACAATGGTTACATCTGGAAAAGTGAAAGGGGGTGGTGGAAAGCAGTGAGATTCTCATCTTGAAACTCCAATCTTTAAACAGGCAGCTACATCAGTCACATACTGATGACACTAACTAATTTCTTGTTGACCCAGCGATGGATTTAGGCATGGGCAATGTGGGCACTGGCCCCTAGGTGGCAAATTTTCTTTAATCCAAAAGTGTTTTTGATCAAAAAATTATTGATTGACCAGAGTTATAATTGCATTGGATGATTCAACAAGAGCACTTGTGCTAGGACAACTGGCCAGCAAAGAATAATATCATGGATTCTTTTCAACAAAATTATGTAAATTCAATTTTATTATTTTAACTTTCAGCGTGTCAAAGCGTATATTTTACTTTCTTGCCCTTGTGAAGGTACATCAAAAGAGAAAGTTATGTAATCATGTGCCGGAAAATGGAATTTTCAGCAAAAAATCTTTTATTGCTGGGCCCTGGTTATATAAAAGTGGATACATCCCACTGCTAAATGTAGGGCAAGAAATTCTTCCATCACGTGGGGTTACCCGAATCCCTGTTTTGTGGGTTCTTGATATCAAAAAATCGATTGATAGCAGACTTTTGTTTGTCTGTGGTCAAAGCTAGTGCCTAAACCGTTCAGCCAATTTTCTGCAAAATTTTTATTCTTCAATCAATCTGAATGAACTCATTGCTTAAGAGATTCAAAAGAGATTTTCATTTTTGATGGAACTTTGACCTAAAGCCTGACCCTTTTCAAAATTTTCTCAAAAATGACCTCAATTTTTTTGATAAACTTTGTCCTTGAATAACATAAAGGATGCTTAAGAGAATGGTACAGGTCCCATGTTTGATGAAATTCCAGATTTTTTGAAAATTGTGAAAGTGCAATTTTTGGGGGACATCTTTCTAAAAGTGTAATATGGAAGATAGTTTTTTTCCCTTAAAGACGGATTTTGAAATATGTTCGTGTTCAATTATTCTTATTTTATTGTGATGGTGAAATATAGGCAACTTAAAATAATGTTTTTTCTCAAGAAACACTCCAATTTTTTTCTTTAAATTTTCTCCGCAGTAGAGATGCTTAAAAGAATAGCTTTAGTCTCAATTTGTTAAACTCTGAATTTTCGTAAATTGCAAATTTAGAAACAATGTGCAAAATATGTTCTGTTGTGCCACCACTAGTTTTGTGATATAAATTCATTTATTACATTACCATAATTGAAGTAAACAGTAAACATTGTATTGTATAAATTTTCATTGCTATTTTTTGGTTCAATTTGTGATATCTTGGTTTATAAAGAAATCACTTGAATTTTGTTTTTCCAAAAATGTTTGAGCTAAACGTGACCATGATTTAACTCAATTGATCAAAAACTGCAACTTTTAATTGACAATTAACAAACAATTGACCTGTGATCACAGCAAAGTGAATAGGTTCTATGTGATATTAGATAACTTAGTTTGCGAGTTAACTTGAAGAAATGAAACTTATAAGAAGATCAGTGGAAAAGTTCATCATAATTTTAGAAATTTCAAATTTAAAGGCAATGAAATGAAACATTTGACATGGTATATTCCATGTTGATATTACATATCCGATGATTGACTGACCACCTCTGATCAAAAATGACGAATATTAATTAAATGTGCATGCGTTGTTGGCAATAGAATTCGACCTTTTAAAATCAATAAAATATGCTGATCCCTCTGTAATCAGCAAGATGCAATATTTGGTTTATTTTGTGTATTTTTAGTTTATAAAAAAGTTGGAGTATTAAATAAATGCGTTAGAAATTATCCAAACTTCATTTTCATTTAATAAAAAAAATTAAAGAATTGAGGAAAGGGCAGCACTGAGTATAGTGCCCAGGGGTGCCCCATTTCAAATCAGCCATTGTGTAGACCATGTGTGAAGCATAATTGATAGCCCTTAATTTAGATGAGGCCAAATCAGGTGCAGCAGGCTGATAAATGTGATAACTCAGATAGCTTGCCTTGATGAAATATGCAGTCCCAGGGAATCCCTGGGTGCAGTTCATTAGTTAAGTCAGCTTAAGTTATTATTTGGAGTGTATGGTATTGTTGGTTTTACTACTGCTGCCAAAATGGCTAGGTCAAAACAAATTAAGACTTGACAAATGGTGAAATGTCCAATTTTTGGAAGTTTTAATGATTTTAGTGATGTAGTGTTGCTGACAAATGAAAATGAAATGGAGTTCTGTATTTTATTACAATAGTATGAAGCAAGATATTTTCACAAACAAACCAACTGTAAGTGAAATATCTGATATTTTAGCCCAGAAAATTGTATCTGGTTACAAGCATTTTGCCTGTTGTTTCTAATTCCGGAATTTTACAAATGAAAAAGTTTATCACGACAATCATAGATATTTGTTAAGATCAAAAAAGGATCCAAAGAGTATAACTGAGATCTTGGTTCATTATAGGTTTCATTTAATACATTATTGGATTCGTGATTTGTCATGATGTTGCTTAAACTATGAAATATGTAGTGAAAATTAACTTGAAATTACACATTTTCAGAAATGCTCAAATGAAGTGTTCTCAAAACTGTTCCAAATTTTCTACTAAATATGTTCATATACAAAGTTTTCTGCAATATCCATTCCAATTCTCCAAAAAGACATGAATATTCATTTATTTTCAGTTATCCTTACAAAAGTTGTTGTGAGATACACCAGAGTCAATGAGTAATTTTGCAGTATTGTTTGTTTTTTAAGATAATATTTGTTTAAAAGTCATACCTCTAGTACAGTAAGCAAATTTCGAGAAAGACTTCTAATTTTGGAGTAGCATAATAATTCATAAACTTGTATTTGTAGAACGAGAAGATGGCATCTGAAAATCTTCTTCTTGAAGCAAGAGAAGCTGAGAGATTACAAATAGAGAAACATCTTTGTGAAGCCAAATTACAACAGACCGAAATGCAAATGGATCTTAATTCAAAAGAGAGATTACTTGCGGAATTGGAAACAAAATTAGAGCAACTTCAGGAATACAGTGAAGTAAATATTTAAAAATACTTTATGTGGTTAATGGGAGAGGACAGTGAAGTTAGATTTATTTTATTTTCAATTTTAATTAATTTGATACAATGAAAATTGTATCCATAAAAGGTACAGCACATTGCCAACCAAGTGGCTGTTGGTTCCAGTGGCAGCTTCAAAGTACTGAATTGCTGAATTAATTTTAAGATACTATGATAGTGCTTCCTTTTTTTTCTAACGGATTCCTTGTATTCCTTTAGACTAAGATTGTAATTCCAGTCAGACCTTCATATACCAAATTGAAAAATTGGTTAAAATGGAAAATTCAACTATAAATAATTAACAAATGTTTTAATTATTCATTCCACATAGTAACATGAACTTAGCTTGCATTTATACCTGACCAAATCATTGAATTGAAATGTTCATAAAAAATGTCTAATGTCTTGTACATCACTGAATTGTTGAACATAATTACATGTATTGGATGTATTTTACATTTTTCTTACATAAAAGAAAAAAATTGTCAAGCCAGAAAATTATATTCAATATTGTTTTTAAAGAGAATTTTCAAAAAACAGAAAAAAAATTGATTTATAGAGAATTTTGTCACATGGAGGTCTAACTGTACATTATTATTATTACTACACTGGGGTAGTTGAAGAAGCACTCTTTATTTAATTGTTTATATGCTACAGGTTTTAGAAGCTCAAATATCAGAATTGCATAAAAGCAGTTCACCAGCCACGTCTCACAAAAAACTTCATGAACAGGTTAGAAGCAAATATTTCTAGACTAATCTGTATCTGTGACAGTTTGTGTCTTTTGTACATTTATCATGTAAGTAAATTTCTGAAGCTAAAATTGTAAAAACTTATTGCAGAGTTTAGGAGAGGAATTAATGATGGCAGACATCAGTACGAAGAGCTTCATAAAAAGTAATGATAGAGTAGGTTTGGATATCCCAGGAGAGAGTTCATTGCGAGCTGAACTACATGCATGTGTAAGTAAATGAACTTTATTTCAAATTAATTATTTTAGTTCAAATCTATTTGAAGTATAGGGTGCTGGTCATTAAATAATACATTCTTCTTGCTTCATGTAATGGAAAAAATATTTTACCCAAAATTTAATCTGTAGTGCATTGTATTATCATGCAGCTCTCAAGCATCTTTAATTACTATATTCACAAGACCAAACAGTACAATAGTATAATGAAGCATAGTTATTAAATGTAAAAAATTTATGAATATTTAAATATTTTAAAGTTTAATTTATCAATAATTAAGTAAATGCATTGAAAAACAAGTTTAAATAACAAACTGTTGTCAGCAATACAATTTTTGTCAGGTGTAATTATCTAAGTCTCCTTTGTAATAATATGTTATAAATTAAATTCAATACTAAACAACTTTACTAGAGGAGACAAAAAACACACAACTTTTTTACTCTGCCATTTAAACTAAATGCATTCTCAGCTTAGTTAAATAATGTACATATTTAATAGATGACTACTTTTGTAATGTCTCTGCCTTTTTTTCCCAAAGGGTCAATGGCCATTAATTTGTGAGCACGTTGCTGTTCAAGCTACACCTGATACATGTCTCTCAGAAACACAAACTGATGAGAAATGGTCAGCTACTGAAAATTACAAAAATTCTGAACCAAAGGACCTTTGCAGTAAAGAAAATTATTCTTTTCATCACAGTGAAACTTGTGATGGGAGAGAACATGATATTATTTACAATTCGATGGAAATGAATGCAGAAGCATGTGAACAATCTAGGTTTTCCCATCAAGATTCAGAGACATCTGTGGAGACTGATTCCTCGCAGAATAATGTAGCAACCACCTCAGATTCATCTGTTTCTAAAAATGAAACATGTCTGTTTGTTCCATTCGTGAAACCTAATGGCAAAGTACAGGCAAATTATCCGTATCAGTCTACTTATGAAATGGAATTGTTTATTATGGTTGATGCATTGACCCAAACAGAACCACTTCATCAGGCAATAATAAATGAAGATGTAAAATTATTTTCTACTTATAAGCTAGACTCTAAGAAAGAGGTAAGTAAAATTCATCGTAAAAAAAGTTTTAAATCCTTCTTAAAGATAAATCTTTCTTGTATTAGTGGTAATAATCTGGATGAAATAGAATGATTGGATGGAATCTCTTCACACTATATGGTGGGCGACTGTTCAAAACAGAGTATTAAAAAATGTAAGTCCCATTAATTTTGTCATCTTAATAGTTATTGTGCCTTCACTTTCCCTTCTTAAAATTTCACAAATATCTACCATTTAGAAAGAAAAAATTTCAGTTCAAGTTTCAAGTAATGATTGTTCTAAATGTTTGATGCATTTTTTGATGTTTGATGATAAGAGCAGTACTGCATTGATGGCTTTGAATTGGAATTTTGAATTTTCCATGAAATAATACTTATTCTTACTAAAACCTATTTAAAACATTTTTTACAACAGTTTAAATTTTTTGCACAATAAAATTAAAGATAATTTGTTTTGTAGATATAATATTTTCAGAGAAAATTATTTTGCAATGAACTCTGCTGATTCAACAAAACAGACATTTTTAGTTTAAAAAAATATAGTAGTACATTGGGTGACATGTAAAATACTTTACATATTTTTTAACAGTGGTGCCATCAGGATTTTTCTCCGGGGGGGGGGGGGGGGAGAGATAGGTTGAAGTGTGTAGTTCACTGGATGCTTTCTTAAAGAAAATGTCATTTATGCTGTATTTTAAATTTATTAACATTTGTTGTTTTAAAGTTGATCATCGACCATTCAACTGATATAATGAATAACTTCCATTACTTAAGAAAATTAATAAAAACTATTTGAGGATGTGTTTCTCCAGCTGTATGGGAAGGGTCCCCTCCCCATGGTTGCAACACTGTGAAAGACAAAGTTTTTTTGAAATTAGGTTTTGTTACCTGCTAGAAAATCACAAAGCCAAACAAAAACAAACAAATTACTGGCATTACAATTCCACAGATAGTGTTTCATTTCTAGTAGTATAAGGTACTTTGTCATCTCACACTTAATTTTGATATACTCTGGGTGATTGTTTTAAAATTTCTTATCTACTAGTTCAAATTTTTAAAATAATATTATTGTCATTTGAATTAAATGTAAAGTTTGCTGTATTCTTTGTGTAGTAAGGTGACTGTGCAAGAAGTTAAATTTTAGATAGTTTCTTTTCATTTCACAGTTTCATTCAGTATAAAAAAAATTTGTAATTATCAATATTACTTCATATTCTAATTTTTAAAAGACTTCAGAATTGATTTGTAATGACTTCTTCTTTAACCAATAGATCACAGAATTTTAGATCTAATTTTTAACAGTTTAAAATGAAAGGTATGTCATTAAACATTATATTTAATGAGCACTAGAAATGCAAATTTACACAAAGGGCTCCTGAAAATTTACTGAAATTCCATACTAATGTTTAAACTCTTTTCCTTAGTATCTCCACTATAAATGAATTAAAACTTTTTATTATTATAGTGCTGAGAAATTGAAATAGTAAATATTCTTAAGCTATATTTTCAGCAAGAATAAACCAAATTGCTCTTTTTAATTTTTTAGTGTGATATCATGCACTTGTTTTCTTTCTGAATGGGTAAAGCATAAACACGTGTCTTGATGGTAAATGTATGTTAAATTGTTTTCATTGCTATATTTTTACAATTTCACTTTTATGATAATTATTAAAATGTTTCAAGTTTGCCAATATTATTGTGTGTATAATGTAAGTCACTACTAGAAAATTTTATGAAAATTATCAAAAATATACTATTGATTGTTATAACATTGTGCGCATTTGAAAAGTTTTCAAAATTATTTGTGTCAAAGAGGTCTGAAACACATCTATCCAACAAAACTATTCAAAAGTAAAACTGATGTTACAAAAATTTAATTGTAAAATGTGTACATAATTATACACAAACTGATTTTTTCTCTCATTCTATTTTTATTTTCCTTTGCCATCATGTCCATTTAGCATTTAAAAAATTGAGATGTATTCTCAATTCTTGATTGTGTTAATACATTTGAATTTATTAGTTAAAGCTGAATGTTCCGACACTAGTTCAATTTGTCGACGCCCCGTAGCAGCACCAAATTAGGCGAAAATTATTTTATTAGTAATGTCTGATCGAATGGTCCGATTTTCAATCAGTAAACGGCATTTCATTCGTATTTGATATAGAATTTACACTACGAACCTCGTTGGGGAAAAAATGGAAATTTTTTTGGGATAGTTCCGGGACGAAATTCCGAAATGTTGCTAATACTGTGATGACGACGTGCACCCTGAATCCAACGACGTAGGTATCAATCGTTCAAATCGAATCCGCCGCCGCGCGTTGGCGAGCTGGGAGTGAGGCAGGCAAGCGAGCGGTTCTCTTGTGGCCCGGCTGCGATTCGTCAGATAATTCTTTCGCTATTTTCCATATCACAACATTAGTTTTACTGTCTCATATACATGCGTGTATACGAAAATTTGTTCTCCTTAATGAGTTTTTTTCATTGATGTCATGCACATTTCTTTGAAAGTTTTAGTAGTTTTCGCGCAATATTGCATGAAATATGTGCATCAGTAACAAATTTGTCAAAAGTGGCTCCGATTTTTTCTTTGAACTTTTGGTAGGGATACTGTTAATTCTACCGTATAAATTACAAACGCCGTATTGCTGTATATTTTTTTTATTTTTTATTTATTTTTCAAAACAATCTTTTTTTACATTTCTCTCGGGTCCTTAATATTTGCATTAACGTCACTTCGATACATTACTGCATTTGTGAGTACTCGTGCTTTAAATAGTTTCAAAGTTTCTCGATAATTTGAAAAATATTTTGAGAAATTGCGCTCGTATTTCTGCATTCTTAAAAACTCACAAGCGCCATTTTCTTACATTTTTTTCAACGAAAATGTTCATATATGACGATGTTTTACTATTTCTGTAGTACTCTTAAAGTCATGTTTCAGTTCTATCATTAGGGGACTAAAAAATTGAAAGAAAGAAAGAAAAGAAAAAAAAGTATCTTTAGGTAGCAATTAATGGCAGCTGGGAAGAGGATGGAACAAAAACTAAAATATAGCCCATAGCTAAGAAAATAGAAAACTAACTAGTACGAGAAAGTCGGTGCCATTCTGTAGCATCACTAGTTGTTTTGTTTTGTTTTTCCACAAATTTCACTCTGTTGCTGTAAGTAGGATAGACGTTCTCTTATCCTCTGTGACCGAAGTATAGAACTGAATTTATTTTCACTATTCCACTCGAGAAATAAAAACCAATAGTGTTTAACTATATACACAAAATACCCCAATGAGGGTGGTGTTCCTCAAAACGTTTATCGTTTTTTCTATCTGATATTTCTACCTTCTGGCCAATCATAACCTGTAACTCACCTGTATTAGCGGGCAGTATTCATCGACCGCTATGTTACGAGTAATGTCCAAATAAACCTCCTATGTATTATAATATGACCTCTTTGATTTTAATATATTTTCAATATTTTGTGCATTTTGGAACTTTGTTGGACATAATTTCACTCGTGGAATAAGTCCATTAAATATCACTTTTAATTGGAAATTCTCAGATAAATCCCCTTTGCTTCGCTTCACGAGTTTAATCCACAACTTCCAAAGCATTCGTACAAATGAAATACTAGTTCCATTTTAGGGTATTAGGAGAAAATGCGTCTTCATGTGGATAAGGTGAAAGATAATGGTTGCGGCTCGTCTAATGACGGAAATACTGCACAACGTGTCTTCTCAGAGCCTGCCGTTTTCTCAGAAATTACTGGTGTTATGAAAACATAATTAAGATTGTAGGATTATCCTGATAGCCATGCCTTGTCAATATAGCATTGATCCTGAATTATTTGGCAAGCATTGTACGGAGACTGCTGAAGTATACAGAAAATTCTTATGATTGGTTGCATATGCTTGTAGGTGTTCATAAAGATATTGTAGTTCATGGGAAACACCTACTTCAGCGTAGTATTCTGCCACCTGGGTGCCTGGGGGAAGAAGCTTCAGAATCCAGAAATATATTGTACAAAAAGGACAGAGAGACTCACTCAAGGATAGTCAGCAGAATTCACAACTTAACATATTTTCAACAGAGCTTTGAAACCAACCAATCCCTTTATTTCGACTGTCAGCCTCCAAAAAAAAGTTAAAAATATATGTTGTTTAGTATGTTTTTTTCACAACAATATGACATCTTGTTAAATTAAAATATAGATAAATAACATCATATGAAAGTTTTAATACTAATTTTTAATTTCTATCTCTTCCCACCTCAAGACAATACTTATACTTGAGCCGCCGTTTTGAAATTATGTAACAGGTAATATGACATTTATTACCTTCTTTATATCTGTAAGTGTACCAAATTTGAGGCAATTTGGTCTTCAAATTACCGAGTGCTGCTCCAAAGTGGCCAAGGACAGCTCACTTTCATTCCATAGTGCAGCTGCTGATTCGCCGGGGCGGGCGCCACCAATAGACAATCCTCTCCAGTCTATCCACTCTTTTCTTACCCGCAGTCTTGCGCGTGTACAAACTGCCATGGTTCGAAACATCTCGCAGAATTTTCTACGTGTCCTCTGAGAAATTCGGACTTGGGCGATAGCAAAGATAACAGCGAACAATGCACGAAGTTTGTAAATGCAAACAGCAATATTCAAAATTAAAATTGCCCAAAATCCATCTGGTTTAGGAACCCCTAACATATTCATACGGGGGATAATTTGATTCGACAATGACCGTATTTATTAATTTATAATTAGGATTTAAGTGTCAAAAGAAAATTAAAAATAATAACATTCAAACAGAGCCAGAAAACTTGAACGCTCAAAGGGCCAGAGCTTCCTCAGTTCGCCATAGAAGGTAAAGGGAAGGAGGAGGAGAGGCCCTAAGGGTGCTTGTGTTGACCGCGTCTTCGCGTATGAAATTCCAAGGCAACAGGTCATCTCTTGGGCGGAAGGTAGTCTACTGAATGAAAATGCTACAATCAGCGTTCACATTGTTC